GTTCAAGTTGCCGCACCGAATAGGAGGAAAACAAGTGGATGTCAAAAAATGACGTGGAAATGAAGTAAAAAGAAATGCCTAGGTTGGGATCCAAGAGACCGCAACCGGTGGATTGGAGACAATGAAAGAAAGATTGCTTTAAAAGGTGTACGTGTGCAGTTAGATCGTGTACTGTGTCAATCAAAGAGATTCACTTTTCTGAATGCTTCTATTTCCCTGACTCGATTTGATTGTGATCGGCAAGCGGTCGGAAACACCATGGCGTACAAGATGAGGTATGACACCCTGGAACACGGCTCCAGCTTGTTCATATCCTTACACCACATAAAATACATACACACATTTAATGGAAGTCGACCACTTCTTTACCTATAATATGGGTACCAGAATGGTACTATCGGATTTCATTAAACATTCAGCTTCAAGCAGACTAACCGATAAGCGCTTTCCTCCTTAAAAGAGTGGTGCCGATCTTATATGCCAAAAACCTATCTCAGGGTGTACGAACAACATCTACACTTTCCTCGTTCTGGCTACGATCACGGGCTTGTTTTGGTATCGAGGTGTATTGGGCACTTTTGACGTTTGACCCCGTCCAAAGAACATAACCCGATGAACTGGATACCGGACACCGCATCGCTGCCTTGCTGATCACGCTCTGGCTAGCCGAAGACTTCGGTTTTCAATACTCAAAAAAATTGGCCTGTCACGAACAAACCACGAATTAATTTCTCTGTTAGAAAAACCGTTGCACCGAGGTTTGCCTGGTTTGTCTGGATTGAGACATACGAAACATCAGACATGGCAAGGACATATGGATGTGGAGTGACCGAAAGTTTTACTTTACGGACTGTAGTTCGATAGAAAATAATGGATGATGAAAAGAAGTCTTCACCACTGAGCGATAATAAAAATGGATATTCTGAAAGCGCAGGACTGCTTGCTGGAAAAGAAAAAGCGGCTGGGTAAGAAGCCCTCAAAAACAGAAGGCGGTGAGGTATAGATAAGCCACTGAATGAAAAATAATTGGTAGACTGTGTTCGGAGTGCATGACAAACGAACGAGCAAAAAAGCGCAAACGGAACAGAGAAAAAACAAAGTACGAAAGGTGCATTATCGGGGGCGATTGAGACTCAAAGTGGGACACGTACCCATTTCAACATTATCTTCTATTTATTTGTTAAGTTACAAAACAATCCAACCTTTACCGTGGATTTCGATCCCCATGCTACGCCGGTGCTAAGGAGGCGAAAAATGTCAAATGAATTCGATATTCTAGTCCATATTGCAGATATATGCACATATATATTTAACATCAATCTTTGCAGATACGGCGCCAAATAACCATGGGTGAGCGAAAAAACATAGGTACAGAAGCGGGGAAAATAAAACAGTCAACATCGGGGAGTAACAATGTTTGGTTTACTGCACGCCATTTTGAGTTTATTTTTGTTTTTGTTGATTTTTTGGATTGCAGACAAGAGAGGGCGCATTTGCGCCACTGACTTCGGTTCGATGCCATATCCCGCAGTTTCTCCAGCCAAAGACAATTTGAATCTTTGGGGCCCCAGCCGGGGAGCCGAGAAACCCCAACGGAAGCCAGATCCAAGCACAATCTCATTAACCCTCTGCGCTACGTCATAGCCTGCCAACCTTGCTGTCTCATCCAGCCTGGACCGATGTCTGCGAATAGCGCACGGTGTGGCAGACGGTGCTCAGGCATTCGAAGGACGTGCCCTAGCCACGTAAGACGATGCTGTGAAATTAATTTGCTCAAAGGAAGACTATCTGGTCCTAGCACCCGTTGCCTGACTTCATCGTTATTCACGCGATGCTCCCACCATACGCGGGTGATGTTGAGCAGATAACGGTTGTCGAAGACTGATAGTCGCTGGGCTTGATCTACTTGGAGAGGTCTCGCAGTCATAGAGAAACACGATGTGTACCGCTGAGTAATACATACGCTCTTTCAGTGAAAGGGATATATCGCGCCGGCGCCAGAGATGCCGCAGATTAGTAAACGCTAATCTAGCTTTGATCACGCGAGGTCTGGTAATAGAGCGCCTTCAGGAGTGAGATATACTTCTCGGGTACTCCGTACCTCCGCAAACAGTTAAATAGTGCGGAGTCAAAAGCTGCTCTGATGTCTAAAAACAAGACAATGGTTTGTCGTCTGTATGCGTGGCTGTGTTCTAGTAGCTGACGGAGGGTGAAGATTTGATTTATGAATCCACGGCGTGCACGAAACCCGGCCTGTTCCTTGCGGATTTGCTTCTCACGGCATGGACATAACCTGCGTAATAAAACGGACGCCAGCAGCTTCGGCGCTATGGGAATCAGACTTTTGTCCCTGTGGTTGGAACAGGCGTGGCGACAGCCTTTCTTGTAGATGGGTGTGACAATCGATTTTCCCCGTGTGTGGGATACACTTTCAGTTTCCCAGATCTTCGAGAACAGTCTCACAAGTTCTCTTACGAGAGCATCATCATCTTTAAAGAGGGCAGATAAGTGTAAGTTGCTATCATATGAATAAGTATTGCGAAAAACAGTTAGACGTTATCACACGCGCTAGTGCCTACAAATGGTTCATTAGGGTCAGAAGTAGGTGTCTTGGGTTTTGACCGATCACTATATCCTTACACCTGTTGAACTGCTTCTGTACGACTTTTTGTGCCAGATAGTCGCTGCTGAAGAAGCCCGACTTAGTGCCGCGAGGTGGCTGTTTCCTCACCAGAGTGAGAGGAATGGCTGTGCATCTAGGGGAGTTGGCAAAC